TCTAAATTGACAATGTTCATTTTCATGGTACTTATGAACTAATTTATTCTTGTTTTTCTGGCTACCATGTTCCCACCAATAACTTAGTTCCATTTTCTGCACATAAAACATATGCAAAACCACAATTTGCTCATATGAAAGGGCTAACATCGGAAACGTCAGCTTACAAACTCTCTATGGTGGCCAATTTACATTGGTCAAGAAAGAAAACCACAAAGGCAACGGCAACGGAAACATCACTAGACAAAGGGTTTTATGAGCAGAACAATGGCCGTGCTTGTGTGTTATAAATCTTTATAAATTTCTTTGCATCCTCTGCACAACGACAGCTAATTTTTTAAATTTCTATATCTGATTTAAACAATGTGTTCCATATCCAGTTTTGAGATAGTTTTGACAGTGAGAAACAACCAAGTGACGTAAGAGTATCATGAGATTTGTAGGTAAAATATAAGTTCATTTTTTAACTGACGTTGTCGATGGCATTGCCTTTGTTATTTCTTAAGCTCCATAACATCAACTCAGGGACACAGCACCACAATTTCTTGAGAAACCTACTCCCTTTATTGATTTTTGAATCGCCTTCATCCTCAACAGGCAACTGCTGATGTACCAGGCCTCAAGCCAGGAATGAAACTTGAAGCGGTCGACAGGAACAATCCTCCTTCATTTTGTGTTGCAACAGTCATTCAACAGGTTGGGCACAGGGTGCGTATACGTTATGATGGCTTTGGAAAGGACAATAGCAATGACTGCTGGTGCAATTTCCAAGCAGAAGAGTTACATCCCATTGGCTGGTGTGCACAGAACGGCTATCCTCTTCAACCTCCTAAAGGTAAGATTTGTGTGAATTATTATCCTCGCTGTTCTTCCTATATACCAGGGAATTCAGAAAAAGCCAGTCACTAAGCTAGGTTCAACTTCCACTATTTTCTTGAGCAATGACCAGTAGCAGGTAATCAAGCCAGTTACCCATGCATGGTCAGCCTCTCCTTGTTCATGTTTTTATTACTGCTTTCTTGGTCTCAGTAGCCTGCTACACTATCAGTAGCCATTTTTTAAAAGATTTATTTAACAATTGAAACCCAGTTTATAGGCTCTTGCTTTAGTGGTCTTTTTTTCAGGACCAATTGGCCACATTAAATTTCTTTCTAAGAGGAAATAGTTTGAGTGCTAGGTTTAAAGCTCACAAGCCTGGAGTAAACATTGCTATAATATAGATAGGGTAGACACATCAAAAAAAGGAAATGCTTCCAACTATCTCACATATTAATGAATGGTGGAGATTTTATCCAGAAAATAAAAATTAAGATATTTTATCCAGCAAATAAAAACTTAGATGCTAAATGAAACATACCCTTGGGTATTCAAGATTGTTAGCATGTAGGTACTTTCTCTTTGGTTTATGATAATTGCCGTAGATCTTAGGACAAGTTGGATTGGCTGGCCTGTTGAGAGCTAGACTTATAAATGAGTAAATAAAATAATTTCTTTGAAGTTGATGATGTAGGAAGGGGTTACCCAATCTTCTGGGTCCCCAGTGCTTAACCTGTTCCAGTTAGTTGGGTTTAATTGGACAGGTGCAATGTGTTTTTGGGATCTGTTTGCAGGTATAAATGAGTAAATAAACTAATTTCTTTGAAGTTGATGATGTAGGAAGGGGTTACCCAATCTTCTGTGCCCCCAGTGCTTAACCTGTTCTAGTTAGTTGGGGTTAATTGGACAGGTGCAATGTGTTTTTTGGGATCTGTTTGCAGGTATAAATAGTACTCTTGAAGACTGGAGGACATTTTTGACTCAGACTCTCACAGGTGCTCTCGCAGCACCTCATGATCTGTTTAGAAAGGTAATATGTGACTGGCTGAATAGACCATATAGATCATGTAAAAGCCTTTGTCAATTTTTTTTTTTTATTATTATCATAGTTATATTAACAATTGTTATATTCTTAAAATCATTTATCAAGAACTTATTTTAGTGAGGTAATTTTCAGAGCAGTCCTCGTGATAAACGCCAGCAGATTAAAATGATTTAAAACTTGGTTGGATAAAGAGTAATTTTAAATGATTGTGCAAATCAACATAATGTAAAGAACATCAAACAATAAACAAAAATTATTTTGTGAATAAACCCCTTCAGGCGGCTGGTATGTC